TAAATTGTTTAAAATCCTTAACTTACCGCCAACGTTACCAAGGGCCGCCGGGGACCGCCAACGGTAGGAAAAAAAAAAAGTGCGGGCCCTGGTCTACTAATGGTGTAAGCAGCTTACATTATTCATTAATGACAAATGAGAAACAGTAATTAAGAAAAGCACACGCTCTTCGCTTGTTAAAAATCGCTTTTTGCTTCCCACGAAGCTTTCAAAACCAAAACAACCTAAGAAACAACAACCGGAAACAAAATCCCAGAACCTAAAGGACAAAACAACAAACCACAAAACAACAAAAACCAAGAGGATATAGAAAATCAATCAAGCCCGAAGAACAACAAACACAAAGAAACAACATTGCTGGTTATTGTGGTGTGGGATCTCCTCTAAGATGTTTGGTTTTTGCCTGGAGAACCAACACCAACTCACATAAAGCCTGCTGAAGAAGCCCTCCTGTCCTGGATAATTGCTGGGGCCGCGGCAATCTTGCCGGAGCCCTCGTCCAACATCACACCGTACCTCCCAGTTCTTTTGGGGGTAGGGCTATAAGGCTTTAGGGTATTAAGGTTGAGGGGTATTTAGGGTTTAGCATTCAGGGTTTAGGGTATTAGGGTGTCAGGGTCTACGTAGCGTTTGGTGCTTAGGGTGTTTAGGTTTCGCGTTTGGGGTGTTGGGGTTTGGGAATTGCTTTGGGGTTTAGGGACCACATGAACCCATGCACGATCCACATGAGAAACGAAAAAGCCTTGCGACCGCCAAACCCCTTGACGGGAACTCAAGTTGGGAGTGATCCCGAAATGGCTATAGGCAACGGCACCCGCGACCCGAACACTAAACCGTAAACCCTAAGCCCTAAGCCCTAAGCGCCAAACCCCAAACCCCAAACCCTAAACCCTAAACCCAAAGCCCTAAACCCAAAGCCCTAAATCTTAAACCCGAAGCCCTAAACCCAAAGCCCTAAGCCCTAAACTCCAAGCCCTAAGCCCTAAACCCTGAACCCTAAGCCCCGAAGCCATCAACCCCTGGCCTGATCCGGAACCTTCGAAGCTCCCAAGGACTGTCTGTCCGTCCCTGGCTCCACGTAACATCCATACTAGGCAAACTGTAAACCGAGATCCTATAACCTAAACCCTATACACTAAACCCTTGAAAGCCCCAACCCCCATAATCCCTGAACCATAAAATGACCTGCCTGCAGCTTCTTGAGCCGCACAAAGCGGTGTTGGGTTTCAGGAAAAAGCCAAGGAAACTGACTTAGGCTTAGGAGTCTCAGAAGAACGATGACTGCTACAGACGGCTACAAACTCCCATGTCACATCCCGAAACCCCAAACCCCAAACCTGCCTTCCCTATGCTTCCTGCCTCTGCGTCTCAGGAAGATGTTTCTCGAGGTACTTGAAGTCCCACTGGGATAGCCTCCAAGAGGGACCAGTGCAGGCGTTTAAAGTTTAGAGGTTGGGGATGCGCCAAGGTTTATATAGTTTTGGGGGTTTAGGGGTTGAGGCATGTAGGGCTTAAAGGGTTTTGGGTTTCCGGGCTTCAATCATCCCCCGCTACATAAACCCACAAGGTTCAGAACACCCTGCACCAGAATATACCCAGAATGCATTGTAGGGCTGCGTAGTACCCGGCCGATTCCCAGAGCTCTTCAGAGCTATTCTGAAGTTGAAGATTAAGACTTCTTAGTGAGGGAAACGACTGTAATATTGACGTTGAGCGTGAGACTGCTTCAAAAGCTGAACCCCGAAAAAGAGTCGGAAAAGTCGAAAATCAGCGCAAGCGAGTGAGCTGGGCACCAGCTAGCAAACCTTCCTTACCAAAACCCCCCAACTGCCAAACCCTAAACCCGAACTAAGCCCTGATGGAAGCGTAGAACCCCCGTAGCAAAACCCATGACGTCATATGAAGCTGAACCTTTCTGAACCCTTCTCGAAACCCACGGGGCCCATTTAAAAACCCTGAAACCCTGTGCCTTCTGCACTATAGGCCCTATATACCCTAATCTCTGGGCCTTAAATCCGAAACCCTATCAAAACCCAAAGCCCTAAACCCAAAACTCTAAACTTTAAACCCTAAACCCTGAACCCCTAAATCCTGAAACCCTGAACCTTTAGAAAAACCGCAGGGCGCCTCGTGCCCAGAAGTCCCTCTGCCGGGGCCACGAAGGCCTGGCCCTCACAGAGGAAAGCCTCACGAAAAGGAGATGCGGTTTAGGGCTGAGGGCTTAGGGTGTAGAGTTTAGAGTTNNTTTAGGGTTCGGGTTTAGGGTTTGGATCTAGGGTTTAGGGTGCCTCTGTAAGTTTGAAATCATCACCAAGCTAGTCGCATAGCCCAGCGCAGCCCCAGACCTTTGCCCAAAAACAAACTCTTAACATCAGATCCCTCCAACCGTCTCGACACGCTAAACCCCAGAGAGCCCCACCCCCATCTACCTCCATATCACGGGCTCAATCTTTAAAGGGGCATCGCGTGCAAGAGACCGATTGACCTCAAAGGGTGGCTCCTTAAATCCCCAACCCAAAACCCAAATCAAACTCACAGACCCCAATCCCAAACCTCCATCTAGGGAGCCAAGCCTTTCTATGTCCGGCTTAGGCTTTTTAGGGTCTGAGGCCGGGCCCTAAACCCTAAACCCT